ATATTTCGTCTTGATGCGGCGGATGGCAGAGGCTACGGAGCAGGCAGGTTTGGGGGTTCGGGGGTGCCTCGCTGCCCGCCCTGTAACAGTCTGAGCTCCAACTTGAGCTCGGGGTTCAGGCACCCTCCCTCCCTGAGCCCCCACTTTGGGCAGAGCTTCCACTCACTAAGGACTGGCACCCCAGGACATGCCATGAGGGGCGACCAAATTCGGGGGCTGGAGCAGGGCCCCCAGTTATTGGCAGGTGCGCGGGCTCCTCGGTTGGGGCCTGCAGGGGGGCACCCACTGGGCTGGGGCAGTGCAGGAGGAGGGGCGGGCGCAGCGAGTGGAGGCCCGGAGGCCCACCGCCAGCAGCCTGGGGGGGGGGCAGGTGGCGGCACTGGGTGGGAAGGAAGCTGGGGGCGACGGCAGGCCTCCCCAGGGAAGGCGGCCAGCAGTAGGGCCCGGGCCGGGGCAGGAACTTCGCAACTGGCACCCCTGGGTGCAGCACGGGCTGGCTGGCAGGTGACCGGTCCACCGGCCTGTGGGCGGCCTGGCTTCCTCCTGATGAGAATGGAGACCTGTGCTGCCCCCTCCTTGCCCACCGGGCTGGCACTTCTCACTGTCCCAAGGGCAGGCCCAACCCCACTAACAAGAACAGCCAGGGGCTCGGGAGATGAGGGTCGGGGCCAGGCCCCGGGTCTCTCCTGGGGGTACCAGGTGGCCTGGGCCACCCCATCAGCACCTTCCCTCGGGTCCATTTTGGTGCCCTGCAGCCTGTCCAAACCCAGACCTTGTTCTCACAGTCGGGGGGTCCCAGCCCGGAGTGCTCTGGCCACCCAGAGCCGTGTGCAGGTGTGGGCACCCAGCTGGCACCCTGACAGGTGCCCCTGCTGCGCCTCCATCGCTGACGGTGCCGCCTGCCCGCCCTGTGGTGACGCCCTGGCCTCTCCGCTGCCGCCCACAGGGTGCACTGGCCCAGTGGTGTCTAGGGCGGGCAATCAGAGTGGACACAGGAGTGAGTGCCAGCTGCCGCAGGGGTCCTGCAGGAAAGCGCTTTATTGGCCACTGCAGTGGGGACCAGGTGCGGGGCCACGCAGGGCCACCTGCCTGCGCGGTCTCCCTGGGGACAGCTGTGACAGTCCCGGCCAGGGGCACCCGGGCAGAGGCCGTGCTCCGAGCTGGCCAGGCTGAGGGCCGCCGTCCGCTTACTTCCGGGCCTGCTCGTAGTTGTCGGTGAACCAGGTACATGTCTCCTTCACGGCTGCGGGAGTGGGGGTGGAGGCGGACACGGAGTCACCCCTGCTCTGCCTCCGGCTTGCCAAGCCGCACCCCTGAAGGGACGCCCAGCCCGGGGTAGGCGGGGGGCGGGCGCGAGAGAGCGCCTCACCCTGCTTGAAGGGCGTGAAGCGGAAGTCCGGCAGGTAGGCCCGCAGCTTGCTGTTGCTGGCCGTCTTCTTGAACTGCCCGTCTGACTTGGTTGTGTCAAACTGGCGCCCGGTCAAGGCAGCAGCGCAGAAGCAGCCCCCCCCGCCGGCCCCTCCCGCCCGGCGAGTGGGCAGCCCAGGGCCAGGCCCCAGCGTCCCCGACGGCCCTGCCCTGTGAAGGATACAGTGACCTCCCCTCGGAAGTCCATGGCCTCCACCACGGCCTCGGCCGCCTCCCGGATGGACACCTCGTCCTCCTCGCCCACTGTGGGGACAAGGGTCCCGCTCAGGCGCCTCCTCCCGGCCTGGCCGCAGCCCCCGCTCTCGGGACGGGTCTGCCTGCTGGGGTGCAGCGCAGGTGCCCACCTGACAGGATGATGGGCTCCACCTCGTTGTACTCCCGCAGGACCCAAACAAAGAGCCGCGCCAGGTCCTCCGGGGCAGACGGGCAGCGTCAAGGTCACAGTTACGGCCGCAGGCCGCCCCGCTGCGGAGTCCACGCCGCGGCCCAGCCAGGCCCCTCCTGCCACACCCCAGCGTCGCGCAGACCTGGAGCGAGCTGCAGGGACCCGGCCCACCCCCCCAGCCCCCCGCCCTACCAGTGAGTAGATGAACTGCCGCCGAGGCTTCCCAGAGCCCCACACAGTCAGGGCCGTGCCGCTGCCTGCAGGGGGGAGGTGGGTCAGGGCGGCCGGCCGGGCGGGCGGGCGGCCAGGAGGGCGGGCGGGCGGGCGGCGCACTCACTCTTGGCCAGGTGCGCCTTGTGGATGAGGCCCGGCAGCACGTGGCCGTCCTCGATGTTGAAGTTGTCGTGGGGCCCGAAGACGTTGGTGGGGATGACCGCGGTGAAGGTGCGGCCGTGCTGCTGGAAATAGGCCCTGCGGAGGCGCGCGGCTCCTGGCTCCCGCCCTGTGCCCACAGCGCCAGCCACCCGCGGGCCCGGTGGTCCCCGGCGGCCCCCACCCCGGCCAGCCTTGCGGGGAGCAGGGTGGACACCTGTTCTGCACGTCGATCATCCTCTTGGCGTAGGAGTAGCCGAAGTTGCTGCTGTGGGGCGGCCCATTGTGGATCTGCGGGAGAGAAG